CACTTCTAATTGGATAATGAGTTCCCAGCCTAGAGTCCAAGGGATAAGCAAACTCCTCATCCTTAACATTGAATCGCTTTGCAAAATATGAATAACGGGCAGAGAAGTGGTTCTCGGCACCTTTTTTATGTTTTCTTTTTATTCCTCTTTTCTTGGAAACTTTTATCCTAAGATAGGGCCAGAGAAGATTCCTGGGACCAACCAGGTCTTGGGGGCTCGTTGTCACCCCTGATAACCGTGCTTGAAGATTTACATCTCCATTTAATCAAGTCAATAATAAAATCACAGTCACGAAGTTTCTCCTTTCCTTTAGCAATTTATTGTGGACTGAATGGATGGAAAATAGCAATACCGGGGACAGTTGTGAAGCCAGCGTTTCTAAGAGCGAGTGAGCACGTAGGGAGTGTGCATGAACAAAAGACACTTTATAGAGAGAATCCTTTTTTCCACATTGGTTCAGGGCGTCGGATCATATCATTTCATTTCGTTTTTAATGGACCCTGGAGCTCTTGCATCCCAGTGAATTCACCGGTGGATCTACTGTAGGTGCTCAGTGAGTGAGCCATGGCCCCTCGGTAGTTGGACTTGTGACTCTCGGGTCTTCAGACTTCTATTTCATTTCTTCCTTCTCTCACTCAGTCTGTGTTTAAATGAATCTGTTTCCGTCAGAGGCGAAAAGGCCTTCTTCGGTCGGAGCCCACTCACTGCCTCCTCTCAGGGAGGCAAGTGTGGCTTTGGGAGGTCGGCCCCCTGAGGAGGGGGGGAGAGATGGCATGTGGGATAAGAGATGGGGAGAGAGGAGAAGCCGTCTCACCATTTCCCACCTGGATGAGTTACTGATGGGAAAAAGCATAGAGTGGTGCGTACTAAACACCCTTTTTTTTGGTGCTGCTGCTGCTGCTGCTGTTACTGGTTAGCCCTGCCTGTGGTCTTTGGCACACAGTGTATTGTGTATTAAAAATTCTGCATTTTAAATGATTTATTAAACCGAAGAAGAACAACAGAAGAAAAATAATGGGCCCATTGGAGACGTTTTCCCTTTTCCTCTCTGGTAGTGTCGAAAGGGAGCATCTGAGTAAATGTCTGCATAGTTAAATTATCTCAGGCTACATTACATCATTCTGCAATTTTGCTGGAAAGACAGTTTCTAGTCATTCATATTTTTCTGTAGAATCATTTAATTTTTAAAAATATGCAAAAATTTTTTAAAAACATATATTTCCCATTGGTACTTGCTAACTGTCTTTAAAAAAATCATCTTATTGAGAGCGCTTATAATGCTTATTACAATCCATACATCAGTTGTTTCAGGCATATTTGTACATATGTTGCTATCATTCATTTCTAGACAGTTACTTTCTATTGAACCCTTGGTATCAGCTCCTCTTTTTCCTCCCTCGAAATTTTAAAATATTAGCCTGAACCATAACCAGGTCTCAGTGCCAAACAAACAAGCCAGGTTCAGACCTTCGCTCCTTCAGGGAGTGAGAAGGCCTTTTCTTTCCTTGGTCAGGACACTGAGCGCACCGACCTTCATGGCTCAGTTACTACTGTTTTCATCGCATACATTCATATCATCTATTTCACACCCCAGAGCATTTTCACATCCTGCTCTATAGACTAATCTTGATCGTCACAGGCTTTGTACAAGTGAAATATGTTCATCTTCTATGAAATCATTTGATTAAATATCTAAAGTATGCATCAAGGGAACATTTGCTTTTGCAATGGCACTTTAATTTTTTTTTTGCCTTGCCCTACCCTAAAAGAAAAATGTATGGAAGCATGATACTGAAGTCAGAAGAGCAGTGCATATGCTATTTAAATTTTGATACTTATATAAAAATGTTAGCAGAGAGTCACATTCTCTGCATTCTGTAGCAGATGTTTTGCAAATTAGATTCAGCTATCAAAATCTTAACACTTTTTACTCTCTCTGATTTCTGAAAATGGCTTCTGCTAATAGACAGGTCAACTGGGCCAGTGGAAAAATGGTGGCACCTCCTCACGGGTGGGGCAAACCATTCTCAATACTACAGAAGACTGATTGCTCTGATGTGGAAGTCACACAAACCTTCACCCTCCAACCAATTCTGACCCCAACCAGTCCCTCCTACAGCCCTCTGTTGGGGTCAAACACCTGCTGTCATGGCCACACAGAGCTCACAGATCATGCTCAAGCCGTGGGGCTTATTGGGGACGAGACAGGTTATAACTCAGGGTCTGTAATGGCTCCTCGAGGTGCATTACTTCAGTCAGGAGAGCTTCTTACCTGTGCTTGTAGCCAGGCCTGTCTCTTAGTCCACGCCCGCCTCACTGAAAGCGTGTTGCAGACTTCTTCAGCTTCACTCATGAAGTGTCTGGAGGTGCTCAGGTCTCCGATTCTGTGGGTCAGTAGACCCACTGCAGCCACCTTGCTGGGTAGTCTGGGCAGCCCACTGTGTGTCTCTGGTGTGACAGTGCTCTGTCCCCTGGGTGTAAGAGGCTCTCAGAATAGGGATCCTGGGTCCAAAGGGTGTACCCCCTTCCCAGCTCTTCTTTCTGGTGGCAGGGAGGTCCCCCTTCTACTCTGTGACTGGCTCTCTCTTACACCAGATCTCACCTTTAGGGTATCATATACCTTATTTGCATCATCTCACCCCACAGGGGTTTTATACATTTTATTGCACTATTAGTAAACTGTCCACTCCCTTTGGCAGGCCATAGTTGGCTTATTCGAATAATCCCCCTCGATCACTGTTTGGGACTTACCAGACTAGCATAGCCAGAGGTCCCTAGGATAAGATGATGGAATGGAACCTTCTGGTTAAAGAAAGCCTGAACACCAGACCAAATTTCCAGGAAAATGCTTATTTGTCTGAACTACTTTAATTACCATGAAGTGCCTACATTTTTAAGGAGATCATGTATGGATAGTTCCTAACACCATCCATTCTTTCTTTGCTGGTGTGATAAGAACTGCTAATACCATCTTTGTGGTTGTGTAGTGGGCAGAGCCTCTGCCTGCACTGGGGGTGTGGCGGGAGGGGGGGGGCAATTAGTCCTGTTCTTATAGGCTTTTTTTTTTTTTTTTTTAAGTTGTGGTCTACTTGATCCTTTCTCTCCCTGAACAAGTTCTGTAAATGCCATGACATGGAATTGCACCTCTGAATTGTTATTTTCACCCTTGCTCCTTAGTCCATTGGAAATGCTAAAACAACCAGGAATGATAACAGCAGCCGTTTTGGAAAGTACATTGAGATTGGATTTGATAAGAGATATCGAATCATTGGTGCCAATATGAGAACTTACCTCCTAGAGAAATCCAGAGTGGTGTTCCAGGTAAGATGGGCACATGCACACGTAACACTGCGCTACACGGTCACACAATGGCATGTGTGTGGACAGGCATTTTGCTTTCGAATACTTTTGAAGATGCCATTGACAAGATGACTACAAACCCCATTTGAACGGATGATTATGCTTATAATCCAGCTAGAGTATCCTGTTAGAGCACTTGTTCGATTTTTGGCACTGGGTCTTTATGCGGGTCTAGTGATTTTGACGATCGGTGCGTTAGGACAAGATTAGTTAAGAAGAGGGGCCATAGGTGCAGACTCGTCGTGCGACACCTTTCCCTGAAGACCTGAGCTCACTCCGCACTCTGGGAGAAAGACAAGGCTCTCTGATCCCACAAAGACTTGCGGTCTCAGAAGCCCCGATAGGGTTGCTGTGAGTTAGAATCGACTGATGGTCGTGAGTTTGGTTTCGTTGTGTTGCCACATTTTCTGATCGACCGCGAAGGCCTCGTGTCTTCAAAGGATCATGGTCTGAACATAGTTCAAGAAAAAGAAAATTGTCGTCCTCTTTCCTTTTTCCTCCTCTTAGAATATAAAACTATTTGGATAGAATCGTGAAGGTGAAAAACAAACAGACATCTTCACCACCCGGCTGTGCACTAATGCCCTCATCCGATACACATTATTCTGGTGCCCTTCTGTGGGGTTTGCGATCGCAGCTGTGCCCCTGTAACTTTTTCCTTGAAGTGTGAAATACTAGACAACCCTGGCCAGCAACCCTTAATGAACTGACAGGTAAAGTAAGAGAGGGTGGAGTTACAACTGGAAAACTCCCAAGGGAGGGCTCCTCAGGCTGGAGATTCAAGGCTTCATCCAATAGCCCCTTCCTGGAATACCCCCAGCACCAAGTGCTGAGTACATCCCTGGCATTGACATGTAGCCGGGTCTGCCCTTACATCTCCCCCGTGTGTTTGGGACAGGTGTCAGGAGTCTGGCAGCCTTTGGCATGCTGTTGTTGTGCTGTTGTTAGGGGTACAACTCTGTGGTCCAGAAGGAAGCGCAGCACAGTTCTGGGCCTTCCTCACAATCCTTCTTACGTTTGCGCCCTTGTGTGCAGCCGGGGTGTCAGGCCGTCTCCTCCAGGGTCTTCCTCTTTTTCAAGCATGATGTAGCACGCTTCTTGACCGGTCCAGGGATGGTCTCTCTTAACAACATGTCCAGAGTAGAGGAGACACCGTCTGCGTCCTTGCCCCTAAAGGCATTCTGGCTGTATTTCTTCCAAGACGGAGTTAGAAAACCCAACGGGAAGAGCACACTCAGCATGTCTTAAACTCAAAGAAATAAAGGAAAAAGGCAAACCTCGAGTTGCAATCTTGAAAGGTTCTATGGGCACGATATTGAAGGATGCAAGAAGCATCGGAAGAAGCTGTTGGGAGGTACCCTCAAGTCCGTTCCAAGTCACCGCAGCCCCGTGTACAACAGAGCTAAGCAGGGCCGGTCTTATGCTGTCCCCGCTGTAACAGCTAGATGTAAGGCCATTGTCGCCTCAGCCCATCTCCTGTAAGGTCTTCCTCCTTTTTTTGACCCTCTGCTTTCCCAAGCACGAGACCCTTTTCCAAGGACTGGTCTCTCCATATAAATAGAAGAAATGAAGCCTCACCGTCCTGGCTTTCAAGGAGCATTCCGGCTCTACTCCCTCTAAGTGGGATGTGTGTTCTTCTGGTTGCCCGTGGATATTCAATATTCTTCCCCAACCCCGTACTTCAAAGGCATCAGTTCTTCCTCAGGCTTCCTTTGTGTCTCGCTTTCACATACATATGAGGTGACCGGAAATACCACGACTGGGGCCAGGAGCACATTAATCCTAAAAGTGAGACCGTTGTGCTCTCACAAAGAGAGGTCTTGGGCACAGACTTGCCCAGTGCGGTGTGTCCTTTGATTTCTTGACTGAGGTTTCCCTGAGGTGTTTCCGGCAGCTGCTCTGATATTTTCACACCTCTAAATATACATTTTAAACAGTCTAGGCCTTTTGGTGCTTTGACTTTAAAGATGTGTCTGATTTGCGGTCATCACTTGAAGTATAATACTTGATTTATATAGTAAGGCAATAGCTAGTCTTCCTCTCTTGTGCTTATACCTAGTTACACAGAGAGCAGTTACTGCACACACATGCATGCTTGCATAGGTTTAAAAATATATGTTTTTAAACACATACACACACACACACACACACACACTCATCTTTTCTTCTGGCTCCTAATATATATATATATTAGGCAAACATAGGCAAGTCAGAGAACATTAAGACCATTGGTAAATACATGATTAAAGGGACAGTGAGTAGGAAAGAGGGCTAACAAAGTGACAATAAGCTAAACCCGAACCAGACGCATGGCCACTGAGTTCATTCTGATTCATACCTGTCCTACAGGGCAGCTTAGAACCACTGCCCCTGTGGTTTCTGAGACGCGGTCTTTCTAGGAGCATCTCATCTTTCTCCTGATGAGCATGCCTTCGTAGAAGAGAAGGCCTAAATCTTAGTGCTTTGTCTAGCAACGCTGAAGCAATTCTAGCTGTTCACCAGCTCTCCGGGGCTGTAGCTCATGAAAGACGTTTGGAAGACCAGAAAAAGCATTCATCATCCTGCCCTCTGGACAGAAGACCAAAGCATTTCTGCCGAGTCATCCGCTTTCCCAGAAAAGTTTTCTGTGTGTCGAGCCACCTGACCTCTTGCCTCCGTGTTCTTGTGATCACACGGCAAGTTGCTCAGTGGCTTCTGCACCTGAAACAGTTTCTTTACCAAGTATCAGCCCCCTGGGAGGGTGCAGCGGCTTTATTTATTTATTTGGCCCAACGGCTTTATTAGAACTATGTAGCCACTATGGAATTTTAGAGTATCAGGATTTGATTTTATGTGACTGTATTGTCAGAATGATCTATTATTTTTTTCAAGTACATACATGGAGAAAGACCTCCAGGAAATATTTTTTTAAATAATCTTAAATTTTTCTATAACTTCTTTTCTTTTTTCTAAAATATTATCATTGATTTTGCAATATATAAACACAAATAACTCAGGGGATATTTGTAGATTTCTTAACAAACCTCACCAGCTAAAGGCCCACTGTAAAATATGGCAAAGATGGAAGGATGTTTTTCAGTCAGAGTATTAGGGAAACCGTAAGTTAAGTTGTAGATTTCTTAACAAACCGCACCAGCTAAGGGCCCACTGTAAAATATGGCAAAGATGGAAGGATGTTTTTCAGTCAAAGTATTAGGGAAACCATAAGTAAAGAGGCACTTGTAGAAAGTAGTATTGTATGTCACAAAATGGTCTGACAGCCTCAAAACACTGAACTTTTTTGACTGTGGGCATATATTACAAGTTCAAAAAGAATTACTATCAAACATTTCATATTGAATGTGAACAGCAGGTATCCCCTCACACGTATGCTCCCAAACCCACTGCCATTGGGTTGATTCCAACTCATGGTGACCCTGTATGATCGAGTAGAACTTCCCCATTGGGTGCCTGAGATTTTAGCTCTTTAATAGGAGCAGAAGTTCGTATCTTTTCCCCCGTGGTGGATTTGAACGATTTACCTTGTGGTTGGCAGCCCAACACTTAATCCACTATGCCAACAGGGCTTATCTATATCTATCTATATCTATATCTGAATGAATCATAAGGTTTAATAATGAATAGGTACTTGGACAATTTATTTCACTAACCGAGATAATGAAATGTTAAATTTTAATTTTCTGAGTTTCAGAGTAAGATGCTGTAATTGAACTCTGTTCTTATTTAAAGGCAGAAGAGGAGAGAAACTATCATATCTTCTATCAGCTCTGTGCCTCAGCAAAGTTACCTGAATTTAAAACGCTGCGGTTAGGTATGGCTCTGGTGTTGGGTTTGTTGTGCTGGTGTTGTTTTCTGTTAACTTTTGAGTTCATACACTTACTTGGTAAAAAGGCACTTGTCTCCTACTGAAGTTGTTAAGGATGAAATGCTAAGTCTGCAGTTGGCTACAACATAGCCCAGTGGGTTATGGGAGGAGCCAGGGGTGAACAAGACTGGATTTGAGTTGGTACTTGTTTAAGATGGGTGATGAGTGTGTGGGGATTAGTACACTAGCCTTCCTCCGTTCACAGCATTTGGAGTTTTCCTTAGTTAAAGAAGAAACGTTTAAAGGGCTTCATTTGATGGAACTCTATCAGGTTCCTGAGGAGTGGAGTGAAGTGTTTGAGGGGATTTGCCTGACGCTCAGAATGGAGTAAAGCGTTTAGGAAAGGACCCTCATCTCATCAATTAAGGACATATATGGCTTAGTTGATTGATAGGGCATTTTATATTAAAAGGCGTATAATGGCTGAAATCACAGGCCGTCGGACTCCGGCCCGGCAGCTTCCCTGTGCGCCCACGGCCTCTCCGTCAGAGTGGACACAAGGGCAAATGTTGAGGCTCTTTCACGGACGGCCGAACTTTCCTTTCCCTTAACTGCAGGAAACGCGAGTTACTTCCATTACACGAAGCAAGGAGGCAGCCCTGTGATTGACGGAATTGACGATGCCAAGGAGATGGCCCACACCAGGCAGGCCTGCACTTTGCTAGGTAATTGCAGTCCTCCTCCGTCTGTGAGCTACAGCTTTCTGACGCAGGCAGCATTTGCCTGGATTATACCGGCTGGGTTTTGTGTGAGGGTTCCTGGGGAATTTAACATTTCTTAAGATACTTTCGGGTTGCAAGTGGCCTGAGGCTTCTTTGGGGAGTGACGAGAAACTGTTCTAAAATTAGTTGTGGGTAAGGGATGTACAACTCTGCACACTTACTAGAAACCATGGATTTAAAATGGCTGGGTTTATGGTAGGTGAAGTATACAAGCGGTCTTACATGATTCAATGAGGCAGTAGGAAAGGCAGCACGAACTATAATCCTGCGCTTGCCTTTTTATGCAATCCGAAGCCTGGGTCTAAATAAGATGGGTTCCATCAGGGTCTGATTTTGTTTCTATGCTTTTGAGTTGGTTCTTCTTGTAAGTGTGTCCTTCTGGGGCAGCTGTCCTCTGTGGCACACCGGTGTGTGTGTGTGTGTGTGTGTGTGTGTGTGTGTGTGTGTGTGTGTGTGTGTGTGTGTGTAAAAGGAGGGAGCCTGAGAAACGCGGCTGAGCTGGCCATGTGACAGAACATTGCATCACATACGGTTTCTTGTAACATTTTTGTCACTGCTCAGATATCACTCGTCTTATTTTGGGGACTTAAAAAATGTTGGCTTTACGTGTGACTAAATTAATCTTTAGAACCTTAGTGACATCTTCTGGAGGTGAACCCAATTTCATAAAATCTGAGTAGAGGTACCTCAAAGATCAAAGTATGCTGGTCCTTTGAGGAGTGCCACACATGAATCGATTTAACTGAAAGCATGTGCTTTACTTGGTTAATCAGGGCATGGTGCAGACCAGTAGGGAGCTTGTTAGAAATGCACTATCCTTCCCCTGACCGCCTGAATCAGAGCCTGCTTTGTAACAAGGGCCATTGGTGAGTCACATGCTCATTAACGTTTGAAAAACTACTGCTTAACTTCTTAACAAAATCCATTTTCAAACGGAAGTACGCCAGCAGTGTGAACACTTCTAATCTTGAGACATACTTGGTTTACTTATAATCTATAGTTAGAAGAGAGAGAAAGACAAGACTTTCTACCGCCAGAAAAGAGTCTCAGAAACCCACAGGGGCAGTTCTACTCTGTCCTGCAGGATCTCCCTGAGCCAGAATCAACTTGACGGCAGTGAGTTTGGTCTTTTGCATTTATAGTTGGAAGTAATCCGACTTAAAACAGTTCAATTGGGTTATAAATTGGAGTAGAAATAAATAGAAATGATAATGATATTAATAAATTACTTAACTCCAGTGCATGACAATGACATTGATCATTTTTTTAGCACTTACCATATGCACGAAGTATGCGAAACACATCTCATTTAATCATCACAACTACCCTTTAAGATAAAAACACACAAACACACACACACACACACTGCCATTGCATCACTGCTGACTCGTAGCAACCCCTGTGGGTTCCTGAGACTGTCACTGTTTAAGGAAGTTGGACACCAGCCTTTCTCCCGAGGAGCTATTGGTGGTTTCGAACTGCCTACCACGTGGATTGCAGCCCAATACGGCACCACTACACCACCAGGGCTCCTTACCCTGTAAGTTAGTCACTTATTATTATTCCCATGTAAGACAGCAGTTGGGTAGCAGAGGCAGGCATCAAACCCTGTAGCCCGTGTCCTCTCTGTCATGATGTTAAACCGCCTTGTGCGTTAATGTCAAAAAGGATGAACGTGTTGTTAACTATGACCCTTAATAGGCACAACATCTGACAGCGTTCAAGGTTAACCACAGACTGAGCCTTGTCTGCTGTTACAGTTTACTTCCTCTTCTGAAATTAACCACTTGCTCATTTACTCCATTGTTTTAGGAATTAGCGAGTCTTACCAGATGGGGATTTTCCGAATACTTGCTGGCATCCTTCACTTAGGCAATGTTGGATTCACATCTCGAGATTCAGACAGCTGCACAATACCTGTAAGTTCAGGATAACCATCGTGTGGTGGCAGTTGAGTTATAGTTTGTGGCTTGCTGGGTTTTTTACATGGAAACAAAAGATTTAACCTGGGTGATGGTCATCCAAGAGCTCTATTCTCCAAGAGAGAACACTGCAGTGTGAGTGAAGCCACATGGACCCTACTATCTGGGCCACAGTGGTTGTGTTTGTGTGCATGTGTGTGGCCCTGGGTACAGCGTCTCTGTCTGTCAGAGGTGGGAAACGTTGGACACGATGGTTGGATCAGTGTGTCTAGAGAATGGCCCTTTTTTCTCCCCAGGGCCATTTGGCTGTTTCTTCCATCATTCGAGGGCCATACAAAATTCCCAACTTAAAAAGTACCCTGCTCTAGTTGGTCAAACATTCAATCATCTCCTCACTAATGGAGCGGCCAGAACTACTTCTCATTGACGAAGTGTGGGATGGATACACAGGCTTCATACAGCTCGTAGGCTAATGCCCCCCAACTCTGGTCTAGAGCTAAAGCTCTATTGGACCCATGACACAAGTACCCGAATTTGGTAAACTTGTTTCGGATGTGTAGTATGATAGGATTTTAAAATTATTGAAGAAACTTCATGAATGCGATCTTTTAAAATGATGGAAGAAACCAACATTCATTAATGACTGCTGGGAAAAGCGAGGGAGGGCAGTGGGCAAGGAACTGATAGGTTCAGTGTGGTAAATGTACCTGTATAACTTGTTAAAACACATCACTACCATCTTTAGCTCTCTACCTAATGATTAGTGACTGGGATGTAAATGGCCAGGAAGTTAGCGTTAGGGAGGGTCATGCTCTGCCCTTGCTTACCTCCTTGAGGACACCTCGCTTCCTGTCCAGTTTCTCTCCCACCGCTTCTCACGCTCCACTCTCCGGCTATCTACACGCCACACGGCCTCAGTCTCCTGCTTTGCTCAGACTCTCCCTGATGATGTAGGTTGATGTGCTTCTCCCCTGATCAGCTCTAATCCACCTTCTGCCATAGGGATCCGGTATGCTGCTGAGATCACTTCTTCAAGGTAGCTGCTGCCCCTTCTGCTTACCTTTATCTCAACACATACGACATTGTTCAATACAGCTGTCACTTGCTTCCCTTTCCCTTTGAAGATTAAGTGTTACTGTTTAATTTCGTATTCCTAGGACTTTTAACTCAAGGTGGTTTCTTGAATTGTCTCTGGTGCTGTGGATTAACTCCTTGTTGATCCACTCCCCTTTGTGTAAAAACAAAACAAAGGAGGTCCTGCTCTTACAAGGAGCAAATCTAGTCCCAACCTTTTCTGAATATAGTAACTTTGAGATAGATTATCAAATAAAGGAGTTTATGATTTAGAGAGAAACCTTATCCAATAAGTGATTTACTACGCAAAGGGATAAGAGCTAAATGGGCAGGAAACTCGGTTAGCAGAATGTTTGAGTTTTATGAATCGTTGATGTGCAATTACCCTGAGCCATAAATCCTAACTTTGGAAGCATGATCTCTCTGCTCTCACCTCCAACCAATCTCTTTTCCTAACGCCTTTTCGTTTTTAAGGACACAGTGATGACTTTGACTGAAGCGCTGATTTCTTCTGAGGAAATATTCTAGCCTGACCTATTTTAATTTACCAGCTCACTGAGAGGTTCACATGCCATCCCCTTTACCCACTTTCAGCGTGCTGTCCACTGGTCCCTAGTACATCCACAGAGACGGCATCCGCCGCCACAGGCCATTTTAGGACCTTTCATTGCTTTGAAAAGGAGCTCTGCAGCCTGTAGTTACCACCCTCCCACCCCCCTCCTCCCTGCAGCCCTCAGCACCACTAGTCTGTTTCCCGTCTGTATGCATTTGCCTATACTGGACCACTCATACAAAGGAACTTTTTTTAATGTGTAGACTCGTGACCAACATATCTCACTTAGCATCATGTCTTCAAAGTTTCATTCATGTTGTAGCATTTATAAATACAACATTCCTTTTTATGGCTGACTCTTATTCCATCGTATGCCCATACAACATTCTGTTAATCCCTTCATCGGTTGACGGACATTTGGGTTGTTTTGACACTCTGGCAATTGTGGATAATGGTGATAGGAAAATTCCTGTACAGATTGTTGGGTTTTTTTTCAATTGAGCTCATTGATTCCACATTCCAGGCCCATCTTCACACATGTGACCTTCCCCCCAATTGTCAGAATCTCTTCTTCTGGAAAGCCATCCCTAACATTAAAGACACTCTCCTCCACTCCCAACTTTTCCGACAATTTCAAGACACGGTTTTCCTCTGTGAGATGTCCGAAGTGATCATCTTGGAGGGAGAAAGCCTGTAGTACTTCAGTCTAGTTCCTTAATCCTT